GGCAGACGCTGGCTCTGCCACCGCTCGCAGCCAGCCGGGGGTTTTCTCACCGGGGCTCTCCCTCACGGCTCAGCAGGTGCTGGAGCAGTGGAAGTGCCAGTGCAGGCTGCTTGCCAGCCTTTTGGTGCATAGCTGTGTTCAGACTTGGCCTAGACAATAGCGTGGTTACATCGCCAGCGGCAGTTCTGCACTCGTGCTCCATTATAATTATTCCCAGTAAAGCTGCACCTGCATATGATCAAAGGTAGAGAAATCCCTGAAGTTCCTAGAAAAGAAGGACTTAGGTATTGCCATGCCACCTGCCTCTGCTTCCTCCTCCATGTGTCCAAGACCTGCCAAAGCAAGTATAGCAAATAAGTACTGTATGCTGCTGTCTGGCTCCTCTGCTGTACCGAGTTCCCTTCTGTGAGGCCTCCCATGGCCTCCAACAGCTTAGCATCCATCATTTGGAAGAGCAAGCTTCAGAGGGGCTGTCAGAGAGAGAACAAGTCTTTAAATTCCTTGGCCACAAGTGACATGGCTTGCAAACATATGGAGCATCTGCTGGGGTGGGGTGGGCAGAGGTGCTAGGGAAGAAGGAAGCAGTTATCAAACAAGTCCTGGGTATTATTTTGTAAATACTAGCAGTGTTGCAGCATCATAGTATAGCCCTTACAAGAAGAAGTAGCATCTCATTGTGTCAATGGTAACTAACTCAGCAGTTTGGCCTCCACAGCCCTGAATGCTTTGTCTAGCCCACCTCCTGTGCCTCAGCTTGCATTGACTGGTTCTTTCCTGGGGAACTTTCGTGTCTCTTGCTTCTTTTGGGGCCTCCTTGCCCCTCCTGTTCATAAAGCAGGTGTAGGCTACTCGGAGCTGGTAACCCAAAGCTGATAGTGGCCCTGAGCCAAGTAGATTCAGCCCATGCTGCAGCCATTTTAAGACTCTCCAGCCAAGCCTGTCCCCCAGCCCCGCCTGCAGAGGCCATTTATTTATTGTAAGTTATTTTATTTATTAATGTTCTCTTTAATAACTGTGCTTTCTCTGCCACCCATCTGGACTGACAGCCCAGCAATAAAGCATGCTGTGTAAGGCCGCTGCTGTGTCTGGGGTCTGCTGGGCTGCCCCGGGCACGGCGGAGGGTAACAGCACTGGGGTATCCTGCCGTACTCGGAGCCCCGGGTACCGCTACGGTGCAAACGTGCCGGTGCACCAGGCAAAACCCTGGGAAGGCCCACCACGCCCCGCCACAGTGGAACACCCACCCCGCAGGCACCGCAGCCCCTCCAGCCGGGCAGGACAGCCAGACGCCTCGGAACATCAGCCCCTCTCCCTGCTCAGGGGTAGTGTGCAACCAGTCCCCCCTCACACCCCCCTTTTTCTTTCTACCCCATCCCCAACACCACAGTCCAAGGAAGAGAAAAACATGCTCTTGTTAAGACCAGTCAGGAGCAGAGAGCCAAGCTGAAGAGGACTAAAGTGACAGTCCTTCAGAAGTTCATCTCACGGTGAAGTCAGAGGTTCAGGAGTTTGAGCTCAGGCGAAAGTTGGGCAACAAAATAACCTAGGATCCAGTCTTGACAGTACTTCTTTACCTAGGCTTTTTTTGCTGATGATGTAATCAGAAGCTAAAAAAATAATCTTTGCGTTGTTTTCCTCTCCTGCATCAATATGTGCTGGTTTACAACACAGTAAAAAGGATTATCCCATGGTAAAAGTCAGACCCTGCAAATACAGAGTACTCCACAGCACCATGGATTGGGAGCACTGAGCAGAACAAAAAAAAAGCAGTGGTCACATCCGTGGGAACCAAGTAACATGATGTTCAGAAAAACAGCATTCCCCTTTTTGCTCTGTCACTTGGTGAGCTAAGGTATGGGCCAAGGAGGACAGGAGCACTGATGAGAGCAGCCCAGGAGTTCCTGTCATATCGTTTATAGCAGCGAGGTTAACCCTGTGAGAAGGCCTGTCTCCACTGGCTAGTAGGTAGCAGTGGGTATGAGAGCACACTGAATTTTAATAGAGTGGAATCCAGAGATATTTGGAAAGCATCCTGGGCGCAGCCATGTCCTGACCGCCTCTGCATACCTTCTCCCCTCCCCACCCACCCCAGACAAACTAAGACAATCCTGCAGAGTTTACTCCAGGCAAAGGTGACATCAGTGCCTCTCGCTGGCTTCCCTGTGATTTGCAGTCCCTGCGTCATCAATATGAGCCATAACGATCCTGGGGAGGAAACACACGGAGACACCATGCTACAACACCTCATGCAAACTCCAGAGACAGAGAACAAGGTCTTGGGAGGGTTGGGACTGGAATACAGTATAAGGTTACCTAGACAGAACACCATGCAAAGGCAGGAAGTAAAATGGCCTTCACTTTTTAAGTTCTGCCTGGGATTATCTGACAGAACAAGGTGTCCTGTCCAGCAGGAGAGTAAGGTTTGCCAAGAAGAGTTAGCTGGCCACCAGGAATTCCTCAGCTATTGTAATGTAGTCATCAGCTATAGAAGAGGTGTCTTCCCACATAATTTGAGGAGACAACGATAATTCCAGCAGGAGCCAGGGTATAGTGAAAGTCCCTGAGCACGATGATAGCCTGTCTGAAGGTGCCATAGTGTAACCTCACCTGGAGGGAGTTCATCACCCCATTGGCTAGGACAGCCATCTTGCCAGCAACTGATTTCACTCCTTGCTTGAACTGTGCAATGTCAGCTGTAGGCAGGACGTTTCCAATTGACACACCACCTACAAGAACCAGCAGGAGTTAGCCCGGAGTCCTCCAGCTCCAGAGAGCACCCTGACCCCCTCCAGTCTAGGTCCTCCAAAGCTGCTCCCTTCCACACCCACTGAGTGCTAACAAACCTGAGTGCGCATTGTCAGCCTCTCCAAACAGGTCTGCAGAGCTGATGGCACTGCTGCCCGAGAGCTGCTGCAGTCGGGATCTGGCTTCATACTGCAGCACAAAACAAAACAAAACAGTTGTAAAGGATGGGAACAAAGCAGAACCTCGGCAAACAGGAGGAGATGAAGCCAGACCTGTATCAGCTTAAGCACTGCAGAATACATCTACCTCAACATCTGCCTCCCGCCCGAAGAACATATCCGAAGAGATGGCTTTAGCCCCTGCAAACTTCTGCCGAGCTTCGCTGGATTCCACAACTGATGTCCTATTCTCCGTCTCCCGCCTACTGATGGGTCTGAGGAAACAAGAGAGGAGACACCGCCACTTAAGCTCACCAACACAGTAAAGAAAACAGACTTCTCTCTCAGACCCCATCTGACCGAAGGAAAGCAACAAATCCTCAGGTGCTAGCTACCATCAGGGTTCTCCTCTCCCCAGTTCAGGACAGGCAGCACTTGATGACCATGAAGGCTGTATTAAACTTAGGAACACAACAAGCAAAGAAGTGCCCAAGCCTCTTTCATTGAAGGCCCTTTTTCTTGGGCTTGTCCTTGCAAGTTATCTTCTGTAGCACAAGGCTCCTGTAGTAATACAGCAGCATCTCTCCCCCCAGGGCCTACACCTATCCCTTTCTCGCACACACAAGGCAATCACAGTACCAGTGGCAGGCATTTTACCTCTCTGAAACTGGCCGAATACTGGAAATGGTCACCTCAGGTTCCTCCTCTTTGTCCATGCCCCATGAAGCGTCCGTTTCCCATCGTGAGCCAAATGCATCTTCGAATGAGAAGGGATTATATTTGTACCTAGGTACCAAAAATAGACAATTTAGGCCAGACATTAAATTCAGGAATAAGCCAAAGACTACACTGAAGCTGAGTCTTACTTGGGGGGTCCAGATGTGAAGCCTCCAGCATCTTCAAACAAGTCCAATTGGGAGCGGGAAGATTTTGCGACCAGCGGCGTCTCCTGCTCAATTACTTGCATCTCAGACATCACCGAGTGTGAAACAGAACTAGCACAAGAAACAGGCAGTCAGGACCGATGGGTCCAACAGCACCCAGCCCCTGCAACCAGCCTGCCTCAAAACTGAATCTGGCCTTCACAGGCAGGGTAGGTGCCACAAGTCTCGAGGGAGAGCTGTGGGATGCCAGCCCCCTTCACCACTTATCTAGCTTATTCTGACTCCCTCAGAAGTCTTAAGCTACTTCTGAAGGGAAGTATTATGCAGGGAGACATCTGTCAAGTGGCAGGGCTCTAGGGCTAGACACTGACAGGCCACACACACCTTTGAAAAAGCTCAGATGAGAACTAGAACCTCTGAGCAGAGTGCCCGTTCCTTCTGGGGCCCAAAGCATCTTTTAGGCATCGTCCAGCATACGAGCACTGTAAATCAGCTCCTTATCTGTTACAAGAGCAGCAAGCTACTGCCTTCAGGAAACTTTTCCACAGCAGGGTGCTTCCAAGGCACCAGTCTGTCCTATGCCATCCACAGCCAAGTACCTTCTGGACACCAAGCCCATGCCCAGCCTCTCAGCTTGTTCACGCTTCTTCCCTTCAAGGTTCTGAAGTTTCTTCTCCTCCCTCTTTGGGACTCTAAAGGAAAGAGCTATGGTGGGTACCAGGTCACTACCCTCCCCCCTCAGCCCATGCTGTGGAAGGGCAAGGGGGAGAGTAACCCCGACAACCCATCAAAACACCCATTTCTGTAACAGCTCCGCCAAAAATCGTTGCATAGAAGCTACTGTTTGTATTTCCATCTCACCTCCACCGGGATTCACCTCTTTGGCCAACCATGATTTCCTTACTGTAGGCATTACTTCCCCATGCCCCAGACAGAGGTACGAGAATGCCCCATCCAGGTCAGCCTTTGGTTTTTTTCAGTGTCCAAAGGTCAGAAACACAAAATACTTCCATATCTGATCCTTAAACTCTTCCAGGGCTGCTAATTTGAATATGGCAGTATAACTTGTGCCCTGCTGTGAGGACCACACTGGCTTATAGCTACTGCGCATCCTATCGTGCGGCATGTTCTGTACTCGCATTAGGTCGTCCCAGGGTGAACAGCATCACAGAATAGTAGTAGTAGGGGTTGGAAGGGACCTCTGTGGGTCATCTAGTCCAACCCTCCTGCCGAAGCAGGGTCACCTACAGCAGGCTGCACAGGAC